ACAGTGTACACCGGCCGGAATTTTGATGTACCACCGGATTTTGACCAAAATATCCAGATTTTGACCGAAACAAAATTGCATTATGTATCGTTTCGGTTAATGTAAAAAACCAGTACGTACCGGCCGATACGGAATTGACTACTTTGATTCAAAGGCCTAACCCTCACTTAGCATCTCATATTTCCATTTTAGTGCCTCTATGAGTTGGCAAAGATGATGAACCATACACATTTTTCTGCCCTAATTTGATACCATCTCCCAAATCACCATGCATCATGATCATATTAACAGTTAATATTTTAAAAAATAAACTATTAAATTAATTAAGATATTAGTGTTTATTAGATGAATTTACCAAAAAAAAAAAAAAAAGAAGCAAAAAACCATTTCAAAACTACATCATTTTGAAGTGATCTTTGATCTAAAAATACTGGGACTTGAATTTCTTCACCCTCCTGCCTGCTTAAAAAAGGAAAAAAGAAAAAAAAAAAGTGCTAAAATTGGCTTAAAGGAGAAAGATGTCTTGATTGTTGAGCCAGAATTACTGCTCAAACAAAAATCTCTTACATAATGCAAGTTCTATCTCTTTGTCCCTTCCAAAAATTGGGAAACAGAATGTTAATATCTGTGTCAATACAAGGTTGCAAATCTTTTACACTAGGCTACACTAAAATGGAGATACGACAATGTCCAGCATCATAACCCCCCTCGATAGTGTTATATGGTACTTATTTCTATTCTTCACCAAATGAAGCAAAAAAACTCCTCAATGAATTTTCCATTTCAAAAGCATCAACATCTATTCTCATTTGACTTACATTGCTTCTACTGATTGGTAAAGCTTACTGGAGAGAATGAATCATCTTACCATCAACATCGGCAAACCCTAGCATGCTAGAATGCTACTGTTGCTGCTCATATATCTGCATATAAGCTTCAGAAAGAGCAACCATCTGAGGAAGGGTTTCAGAAACATGCAAATCCTGCATTTCATACCTGCAACCATGAATTTAAGATGTGCATCAGTCCAGATATTAGTTGCCTAATCATTCACTTAATATGATAGTGATGCCAATTAATTAGGCCACTACCATAGTTCTTCTGATTTCCGCTGCACAAAGACCCTGTAGAACCCCTCATCTGGTTTACCATCATGGACAATATTAGCTATCAGATCATACTTTGAACGCAGTCTCTCATTCTCATTGGTTGGCGCTGGCAGAGGAATGTAATCCTTCAATTCTAGGTTTTTCACAGGAAAGTTGACTACAAGAACAATATCAGTTAGCATTCAGTGCCTGTCCCATGTCATATCATAATCTGGAGAACTGGAGATTAACAAAACAAAAAAAGAAAAAGATCCAAGAATATATATTCACCTAACGTTGGGTTCTTTTCTCTGAAGAAATTGTTCCTAGTGAAGCGGCGCATATGGAGTATCAAGTATGGTGGCAATCTGGTAACACGATATCTCATCCTTGCTGGAGGACGAACGGTGGTTGTTATAGTCTCACCATCAAACTTCTTCAGTATATTGAACAAAGGAACCTAAAACAAAATTATAAGACTTCAAAGCACCATCAGGAAATGCATAAAAGTATAAAGGGACCTTCACCTTTGTAGTCAGATGCTATAATGCTAATCTGTTTAAATATAATTCAAGAAAGGATTCTAGGTACTTGCTTCCTATTTTATAACATAAAGAAATTTAGATAAAATAAATTGACATTCAAATGCATGAGAATGACTTGTCTTTTTCTTTTTATTCCTTCCCATTGATAGATGAGGTTGAGGTGCTATAACAAAGAATGACAATGTGATACTCCATTCAGTTTAAGCCATTTTAATTCCTGCTTGTTGTTCATGCTAGTGAGGGGAATAAAATTTCAAAAGATTTAAAAGGCTGTAGTCATTCTCCCAAAGGGGTGACAACAAAGGAATTGGAGAAATGGCAAGTCAAAATGGTAAGAACATGCAACTTGGGATAGGATATTCAAACATAGGTGAACAGTTAAAACACACCCCATCCAACCGAAAAGAGCAGAACTAAGTATGAAACACAATGCACATATAGTACCTGTGGTATTATGTTCTTCTCCATCACATCTTTAAAGAGAGGTGGTTCTGGCAAATCCAGTCCAAGCATCAAAAATGGCATTCTGTAAGTCTCTATGACAACATTATCATTCTCAGTGCCACTCTCAGTCAAAGCACCATTTTGGTCATCACCGCGAGCTCTGTTCTGAGTCTCTTTCACAACCTCTAGTTCCCCCTATGAAAGAAAAAATAATTAAGATAAGCACAATCAATCTACTAGAAGTCTTGAACAAGCAGCATTGTTAAAGATAGAGTAAATACAATGCCATAATAAGAACCTCAAAGCATTCATGGATAATGCTGCCACCATTTCTGGTCTTAAGATATTTATGCAGAGTATTGAGAAGCCATGACATAAATTCAACCGGCTCAGATTGCATGCCTATCCGAAATCGTTTCTTACTGGCTTTCATAACTGCCTGCAGAAACTCATGTGGGCTCACCTGTTCATGTGAATAGTGAAGGAAAAAATACATAAGTAGTCTCCAAAAACTGAAACTTCACAGCAATAGAAAGCACGATCAAACCTGTCCTTTGAAGTTTCTAGCATGCCAGATCTTCCGAGCGAGTTCTCCAAATCGATGGACAAGTGGAGATTTACAGTGCTGGTAGTTTTCCGGAATGAGGAAAAAGTTCCTTAAGGGAGTGACTCTCATTAACGATTGAATGGTAACGTTCACAAAATCAGTCAATTGGATGTTGTTCAGCCCCACCTGAGACATGCAGAGATTATCACATTATGATTAATACCAATAGAGGTGAAAATTAACTTCTTAAAACTATAATCCAGCAGTGACAACAGGAGAGGAACAACTACCATTCCTGGAAGGTAATCTGAACCATCTAGTGCTCTGGACCATTGCTTATTTCTATCAAGCTGTTCAACTTGTTCCCTGGTAAACCTGCAAAAGTAGTGCAGAAGAACTTAAGTACAAGGGATCTAAGGAATTCCAACATCAAAAAGTACACACAAACAAGAATCAACTGATTTATTGAGAAGCTCTAAAGAAAATAATGAAGTACAGGCTGGGCACAAGCTTAAATATGCGAGACATGGGATGATAAAAGCATGTATATAATCAGGAACAATTGCGGATAGGTAAAGGATGGACACATAAAGAGAGATGCAAACAAAACCTTGGGTTCAAAACATGTCGAATGTCATCCAATGATGGATCATTGATTTCATATCCATCAGGTAGACAATAAACCTTCTCAGTCTGAAGATTAATGTAGACATGGTGTCCTGCTTCCAAGCTATGAGTATAAGCATGTGATTTCTTCCCTCTTCCCTGGTAATACTTTCCACAAACAAGACATGCATACACATTCAAATTCGACAAAGAGACTGAACAAAACTTCTCAAAATCAAAATCCAACACCTGCAAAGCAAAGACAACCACTTAAAAATAGCTTTAAAAAAATCAAACAAGAAGAAATTTAGATTGACAACCATGTATGCAACTCACTCCCAGACATTCAGTATAAATGTAGATCCACACATATGGTGCTTAATTGGTGACTGGGGCTTGGAGTGATTCAAAGAAGACATATCTCATCTAATGAATAAAGACATAGCACCATACATAACCACATACCGATGTTTATGATCTAAATAAATGTCCACTTGATGCCTTTGCAGCTTAGGTCACAAGTAAATGTCCACATGATGGTTATACTGCTTAAGAGAAGCTGCGTACCTGACGATTAACAGTATCAAGGTAAGGACAGTCCCTTCTTACTTCAACCTGGCGATTGTGCTTGCCTGGAAATTCTTGTCCAGACAGATCATCATCGTCATCCTCAACTTCTGCATTTTCAACTCCATTACCATTCTGTTCCACCCTAGCCCCATTCTGTCCTTCACCCCTCCGATTCAGTGCCCTCCTCTCATAATCTTCATCTTCATCATCATCGTCATATGTATTTGCCAAAGGTAACAGCGGATTCTCAAAACCCATAGGGGGAGGAGGAGAAAATGACTTCTCCAGAACTTTCTGCCTCTTCAAGTTCCTTTCACCGTCCATAATATCAGTTTCTTCTCTTCCTGTTTTCAACTTTCCTTCTCACAATCCTCAGTCCCACCGTTAACACGCAGGATTAGCTCTATCAATTTACTCTTCCAGGCAGTATATAGAACTAAGATTACAAAATTAGGGCTTCATTAATGAATCTCCTGAGACTACCATTCGATTAATGCAATCTAAATCAATAAAATTTCAAACTTAAATTCTTGACATCGAACTAGAATCAGCAAATTAGAGCTGGGAAAGAGGAAAAGTAATGAAGAAACATCGTACCCGAATCCGAGCAGCGAACTCTGAACTGAGGCAACGTCTTCGCCCTTGGAATGCTGTAAACTGCAAACGCAAACCCTAACCAAGGATAAGAGTGGAGAAGATTCGGAATAGGTCGGCTTTGTTTAAAGGGGGTTGCTCTCCTATACGTAGGGGTGAGCATCCGCAATGCACATAACTGATATCTCCTTTGCTTCCTGGGTTAAGATGCTCGGCTCGTTTTATGGAATTGAGGGGGGGAGAAAAAACTGTTTTTTAATTAATTAAATTATAGTATTTTTAAATAATATAATTTGATTAATTTAAAAATTCTTTTCCTTTCTTCGAGCCAATCTATTCGATGAGATAGAGTTATTATTAACGTGTAATTTAAAATAAAATAAATTATTAATATGAAAAATTTTAGAAATATTTTATCTACAATGTGAATA